TTATGTAACTTTGTATTGAAAGCATTAAACTCTCTAACGCTGAAAAACCTAAAGTAATGCTGAAAAATTAAAGTAATAAATGAAGTATATCAAACGTCAAATATGGTGAATTTTCAATGCGCAGATTGTAAAAACGAAGTAATGAAACAGATGTGAGTGAAAATCTATTTGAATCGCAGATAATAATATTCTAAAACACTAACGTACTTTTGCAGTACGAACCGCAGAATATCTATGCACTATAATCTAGTCCATATGAAAAATTTCGACTACGAAGTCGAAAGTACTAAAGTAAAGGTACTATATTAAAAAAATAAAAATGGGCTATGTACTTTGGACATATACTAATTAGGTATTTTTTTCTCAGACATGTGGTATCATGAATGAAACAATCCTGGAGTGGATTGGAAACTAATTAGAAATCTTGCTAACAGTTAAATTTAGGAAAGCAAAGTACTTTGGAAACGCGATGAAAGCTGATAAATATCGACTGCTATACTTAATACTACCGGATAAATCGCAGTAGATGGAGCCCAAGTTGAAAGTGTCATGGAGAAAATAACTAAGTCAATGGACCCTTAACAGTTCAGAACAGCACTTGATAAAAACATCCAAAGAGGATAAGTACTAGTAGAAGAACTTTATAAATTAAATTTAATAGATTATCAAAAATTTATATCGGACAAACAGTGATAATTTTTAAAATATGCATACTGGAGCACAGAAAATTATTTTAACATAAACATAACTTCACATAAATCAAGACATATTTTTTTGGTTCCTTAAACAGATATATTTGTATGCCCAAGTTTTGTTACCAAATTATTAAACTATTATCTCAATTCAAGTGAAAAAATCCAAGAAATCTTGTAGTGTTTTCATTACTATATAATTTTTGCGTTGTCTAAATTTTTCAAGAATAGATATCGCCAGGAAATTAAATTTTAATAAGTGATAATAATCGTCACAAACGTCACTCATTTATAAACGTGAAACTATTTTAATCTCTGAGTGTCAACATAAAACTGGGCAAGCCTTGATGTGACATATTTAGCATCTTGCATGGTATAGAATCAGCCCCTTCACAGAAGCATTCTAAGAATGTCTGACGTTGACACAGTTTCGAATAAAGATTGAAATAATAATAGTAAAACTGCAATACCTTGGTTACGTGATTAGAAGAACAAAATACTACCTTCAGCAAATATCGTACAGGGAAAGATTCTAGGAAATAGCGTTGAAAGGAGACTAATGCCATGAAAAAGCATTAAGTCTAAGGACAAAATTGATAAACAAAACAAAAGTGACATGTACAAATTGTCTTGTGGTGATTGTAACATGACTAATATGGGTAGAACAATGAGAATCCTGGCTCGAAGAATCAAAAGAATATCTCAATAACACAGATAAATCAAACTTTGGATATCACATTAAATTTAGTAATCATTCCTTTTCTCCTACCAAAAACTTTTAGAAGACCTTGAGATATCCAAAGAAATGAAATTAAACCTGATTGCCGCTTAAACACACAAATCCATCTCAATTGCAATTATAAACCTCTTTTTAAATTATTTTGGGAGACTTCAGAAGAAGTAGAGTGACCTCATGGAATCTTAATAAAATTTATTTTTTGAATTCCATTACTAAATTAATAACAATGATTTGTAAACAATCATTTGACAAGTTATTTTTCATTGAAACAAAGAAAATTTTAAATTTTTGCTTAAAATTCCAATCAAAAGATACAAATTTTTAATACACTTAAGTATCATATTTGGAAACATTACAATCTAGTTTCTATCTTCTTTATATTTAATTAATTTGTTTTGGGGATAACTGGTCGATTGAACATACTTTGTTCTTCAGTCAATTTTCAACATATCCATTATAGTGCTATGCAAACCAAGATTTATAAAACTTAATTTTGGACAGTCTTCGATAAATTTCTTCCTTCATTATGAATTTCAATTCATCAATTTTTTAATAATTTAATAATCTTAATTTTTTAATGACATATGTCAATTGTCACCTTTGAGGAATCTCTTAAAAGGCTGTCGTTCGATTTCCCTCATTCTATCTGCTGCTTCAATTCCAACAAATGGTCGGGTTCTGACTGTTTTAATGTATTTTTTGCGAAGTCCAGTGTACAGTCTTTTTTATGTTTTTTTTTTTCAATGAAACATTTTAACATAAAACCAGCTTAAAAAGAAAATTTCTGTAATTTTTTACCAAATGAGATCTCTCCTAGTAGTGATACTTAAAAAAACTTGACGTAAGTGAAACATTGTAAACTTTAAATTAGTTATTTATATCAGTGTTCTATTGTAGCATAGCTCTGAAGATGGCTGTATAAGACGAAAGCACTCAGATAGGAAATAAGTTTAGACACTTCAAAAATAGTTTTGTTTTCCATTCTTTGATATAATAGTGGTTGTGCTTGTAGTTGTTTGTGTAATACTGCAATAACAAGCGCAAATTTTTCTGATAAATAAAAAAATAACTGATAATAGTAATACCTCGCATAAGTTCACTAAATGAATGCAGAGCTTCTGATAAGTTATTTCGCTTAATTTTCAACGAGTAGCGATTGCTTTTTTAGTCTGCTGTAGAAAATTTACAAATCAACTGACAATAGTTAGGGACAATAGACAATAAGTAGGGCTTAACTATCACCACAATAGTCATAACAACATATTGAACAAAATTCCAATACCAAATCGTACAGGATATTATTTTGCCATAATATGCTACCAATGTAGTAGTAGTTTGGCAGCATTATATCCAAACCTAATATAGAAAACTCATTGAGTACTCGTACAATATAACAGAAATCAATGCTATGTATTAAAAAATACATCCTTGAAGAATTTTTAGAGAAATGGACTATTTTCAAGGGGGCTAACACAAGATATTTGTCTAAAATTATACCGTACAGAATATTAAAGCAACACAGTGGGTTTTTGCAATTTAGTCAGTATTAGAGAAGCACTGTCCAAGTTTCTGTTTAGAAATCATTCAGAAGTATACAGCATGAAAGATCTCAAGGATAGCGACACAATGTCACCCAAAACTGTGTACAGTCCTCCTAGAACATGTTTTTAATAGTAGAAGAAAGTTGGAATAAGTATCAGTGGAAAGAAATTGAATTGGTGAAGCCCCATATTTTGGAAACTAAAGAAACATCTTTAAGAGTAATTAGTATTAAGAACTTCCCAGAAGAAAATGGAAAGTTCCATGCTCAAAATCACTATATGGAATATAAAAGAAAATACGCTGATGAACCCAAAGACGAGACGTCATGCAAGCACTAACTTAAGTGAAACTGAACTGACTACGATTTAAAAATCAAGATCTCTGCAAATCAAGCCACGCCATGAAAATTAATCTGATAATTGCACTGTTATTAAGGCAAAAGTGACAGAGCCTCAAATTCGTAAAGATTAATTGCTTCAAATTTTAAAGATCGTCTATATTTATTTAAAAAATTTTTCCTAAAACAAGATCATTAAACACAACGATAGTAATAGAGTGTCGGCATTTGACACATGTTCAAATTGAGCTAAGTTTTGTCTCTACCTTGATTCAAGCAGAGTGAGAGTTTGCAGAGGCCCTGGTCGACAAGACAGATTCAGGCATGTATAAGGTGTTCGTCCATGTAGTAGTCTATAAGTTATGATGTGAGCTGCAGTAATTTTTCATCATCGAACTGTTCGCGTTTTTGTGGAAGGCACTTTGAAACAATATGAATAATATTGATCGCATCTTAGAACCTGTTATCCTTCTATTCGCAACTGCTGCAGGTCCTAATGTACGTTCCATGCAAAATAATGCAAGGCCACATACTGCAGCAACAGTAAGAGATTGGTTTCATGAGGTTATTACACTTTTACCGTGGCCCGCACAATCACCAGGTCTTAATCCCATCGAGCATGCATGGGATATGCTTCAGAGACGGATTCCTCCTCATCTGCACAAAGAGCGGTTCATACTAGACAAGGTCTTCGAGATCTTCTTACATAGGAACGGATCCTATTGCTTCAAAACGAAATTGATAATTTAATTTTAAGCGGACCGAAATGGTCAATTCATTGCTGATTAAGGAGACATTATAACGGTATGTAACTTTTTAAAATCTCATCAAAATTGCTGTATATATGAGAAAAAAATTTGTTTGTACCTTAGACATTTTTGACGTGTTTAGTTGAGCGAATAAGTGGAGCGTTAGTAAATACACATATTGGGGAATTATATTTAGAATTATCGTTGGAATGGACCAATGTATCTAGATATAGAAATAAAACGTAGAACTGAGGTTAGACCTATGTTAATATACGGAGTAAAAGCATGGATGCTACCCACAATGAACCAAATTGTAACATTGGCAATATGGAGACATATAAGAATGATAAAGATTTCTTGAACAGCTCATACAACTAACAATGAAGTACTCAGAAAATTTAATAAAAATAAAGAATTACTAAAAACTGTTAATCTTGATTTGAAAATATCTTATTTGGGTTATACATTGAAGGACATAGATATAGAATATCACAGCTGATTCTCAAGGAAAAATAGAGTTTAGGGAGAAAGGAGGTTTTTGACTAAAAAAAAATAAAGATCGCACTGATATGAGAAACCCAATGGAAAGTTTTTTATATGGCAGAAGACTGTAGAGTTTTCGCCGTGATGATCGCCCAATGTCAGATAAGTTTAATATGGCACATAAACAAGACGAAAAGTCTTAATCAGTTTTCAGAAATATTTTAGCCAAAAATTATGCCTGACTCGAGATCATCGAGCACTCGAGATGAACCAAATAATTGACATAATTACGTATACAAAGAACAAGCACAAATTTCGATGAAACATTTTTTTTTACTTTTTCACATATTTAAAAAAAGGAAAACATCTTTTTAGTTGTTACGGACGCACAAAAAAGTATAAACGAGTACAGATTACATATACCCAACAAGGACTAAGGTTTTGAATAAAAATATAAGTTATTGTTAGCAAAAAATGTATTTATTATTCGACAATTCACTGTTTACACTGAATTGGGTATCAGCTCGTTGTCTACAACACAAAAATGACAGTTTGTATATGAAGGAACACTGAATTTAGTGTTACTACATAATATATATTTGTTACTACAGTTTTAAACTTTAATGTAGCTTAAAGAATGTTTTTTTTTGAAGTTATACATAAAATTAAAACCAAACCTACTGTTAGTGACGCATTTCATCTAAACCCAGTGTTCGCCTCAAAATCAAAAGAAAAATTCTTTAACAATGGTGACTACTATCAACACTAGTCTCACCATGGAAGATATTTTATTTGGTAGTTTTCTTTATGGGTTAGCTACCGTTGTTTTTAGGACTTGTAGGCACGGAAGTGTTATGTTCCGATCTTTCTATATATAATTTTAGTAACTTGACCTTACTACCAGATAAATGAGTGATGTACGAAGAGAGTCTATCCTCTCCCACAGCTTTGTGTAGGGCGACCATACAAAATACTGAGCTCTTCCTCACTGAACTCTCCGGATGATCAGTACCCTACAGTTAAAATAATTATTAATACATTGTAAATAACGATTAAATTATTTCTTACAAGAACAACCATAGTCCAAGACAAAAAAAGTAAAGTTCTACAACAAGTAAGTATTCTTTCTACAGAAAAATAGCTATAATGCAATTGTAATCTACTAACTTATGAGTGGGACTCAGAGAAAGTTTTAAAATTGTTATTTAATTTATTGTTTCGTGCCTAATTGAAACTTTTATCATGCCGAAAGTGAACCAGTGTTATAGTATTTATAAAGTCAGTTGAAAACATTTCTCTCCGACTCGATTTATAAGGGCAGTTCAATATTACATTTACCGGTAATCAAGTTAAAGTATAAATAACACGCGTCAATCTTTCAAACGTATTTGAACAATCCCCGTACTTCGTAGGAAATAGATGGAAGAAAGATACATCCCATCAAATAAATATTGGACATTGATATGTTATTCAAAATCACCAATATTTAACACGCTACTTGGAGGTCCCCTTCTAGCCGGTGGCGAAGGGTACAGATAAGAAACGCTGCCGATGCATGCCAGTGCTGTACAGCAAAAATGTTTATTATTTTACGAAGTATAATTAAATCATTATACTGTCAATATAGCCTATTGCCATTTAATTATAAATTATTTTTGTTGCTTAATATGATATGTTTAAAAAATTTTTATACACTTATGTACTTTACGACAGCTTTAAGTAAATTAAAATTGTCCTTTTTCTGTTCTACATTAATATATATTTGATTATAAAAATAAATGAAGCGCCCATGTCTGGTAATATGATATTATTCTTTTATTGTTCGTCGGCAAGCAGGTTTTTGGATGTTTCAACTGACCGTTTAAATACTATACTACTTAGATTAAACCTTGCAAAGAACTCTATTCTGACAATGATAGAGTTAACTCTAGAAATTAGTTGGTCTAGAGCAACAAATTAAAATTATTTTAAAATATAATTTGCAACAAAAATTGTGTGGCCAATTTTGCTTATAAATCTGATAAAAAAATAGCCATTGATATATCCCTAGATTTTCCTCCTGAGAAATTTGACATTTTCTTTAAATAAAAATCGCATTTCCACAAATTTTAAAACAAAATGTTTTCGAACTAAGTGGTAATGTTGTAGTGTGCGTAGGTTGAACTCTTCCTTTTGTTGTAGATTACATGTGACCAAAAAATATTTCAAATCGACCGGCACGTAAAAACACCTAAACGTACTACAAAGCTACAAATAATTAAAGGTTTGTAGAACAAAAGTTTGCAAAATCTCTTTAATCCCTGATGCTTTAAGAAGACGCCCTTAAACAATAATAGAGCGAACAAGGAGAATTTTTAATTGAATATTTTTGACGTGCATTTGTGGCATCAAATACCCATTATCAAAGTTGTCAAATGACAATTATAAACAAAGGCCAAAATGGATTACGACGCGGTTCAACCCGGAATACTGGTGAGTTTGGTATTAATTTTAGTAATAATATTAATCTTAGCTCTAGGTTTTATTGTACTAACCGCGGAAATCTTCCGAACATTATATATATATATATTGTAAATTGTTTTGTTTTTATTATTTTTAATGTTTTTATTGTTATAAATATAATTTTAATTGAATTGAAGTGAATTTTAAAAGTATGTAGTTTCGGTTGTATAATATACTATACCTCGGCTAGCTCAAAATTTTTGTTTCTAAGCAATCTGTCACTGTGTGACGTCAACTACTGTAGTCTCCTGGTAGAGTTTCAAAAAGAAATTAAACCAAATTTTACTTTAATATATTTGATAAATTAACCCAAATGAAGCACGTTATTTATTAATATTGAACAAATTTAATATAAACATATAAATTCGTCTGCAACTTGGGTTGCCTTTAAAAATTTACAAAAATAGGAATCGTGTAAACCTTAATGTGTCGTTGAAATAGAATTTGATTACAAAATGTGGAAACTCTCTACAATTACCTTAAATCTAAATGACTATTGCAACTTTATAAATGGTTTAAATGAAATATAAAGAAAAGAAAACTGAACACTTTATGCCGCTGACTTATAAACTAGCATTAAAATATAATCAAAATTTCAAATGATCCCCAAAATTATTATCCAAACTCACTTTCAAACAGTTCTGATTTTTTTTTTAAAGAAAACTAACTACTCGCAAAATAATCGGTGATACTGGAATATCTATCCTCTCTTCGGAAGTTAAAGGTACGTACTATTATATTTTTATTTTAATGATCATTAATATTTCAATTTTAAGGCCTATCGCAATTAGTTAATTCATGAATTTTTACTTTTTCAATCTAAATGACATTTCTGCACTCCAATTATAATTTATAAGTCAAAATTTCTCTTACTCTCTGGAACAAATTCTGGATATCTCTATTTGAAAATGTGGAAAAACTAAATTATAATTAAACGATTTTAAAGCACTCCCGGACTATTCCACCTTTTTAGGGCTCTTCCTCCAAAATTTTCGTCGCCTCCAACAACCTATTCTTCCTTGTTCACCGCCATAGCTAGCACCAACCAAAATTATTCGTTGCTAACAGCAACCCACTTTCTTTTTTCATTCCGTCTTCTATTTTATTCAACCATAAAACTGTCCTGTTTTGACATATTTGTCAAACCACATTAATTTCTCATAAGCACTTTAATCACATCTAATTTGGGAATTTAAAAAAAAAATTCAGATATAAAACTTAACAATACTAATATAATTTATTCTTTTCATCTCCACATCATTGTAATTTATTTAACAAAACCCTATTAATTTAGTTCCCACAGACTTTTGACAGTTTATTTTTCTGACGTTTATTTTTAAAATTTCTATGTTTAAATAATTTTTTAAGAATTCTTCTTTTTTTATTCCTTTTAAGGTTTAGACGATTCACCTATACACTAGGCAACTATACTATTCAGAAATTATTAACACTATACCAGGTAAGTCAAAATTAATTTATTTAGCAATTTACTAATCTTTTCTCCCTTTTATTTCAGAGTCGACCCCACATTGTGATGGCTTCATGAAATTCATGAACAACAAACTCATATAAAAATCCCTTTAAGTTATATCCTCTTTGACTATTGAAATCATTTCAACTTCCCCCCAATTTGGATTTTGTTCAGTGCTAACTATCAGCACTTACTAAATCTAAATTCTTACCGATAAACTTAAACATTTTATTAATATTAACATAACAATAAACTGACTTTTATTATAATAAGCATATCTCTTGAATATTTTTTTTTTTAATAATTTACTCTATGAAAAATACAGACTTCTCCAAACAAAATCTACAAATCTTTCACTAATTATATCAACTTCAGAATCAAATTTCCAAGTACTTTCCCAATTTCATTACTTCTTTTCCTGTACTATTTATTTCTCGTACTAATTTCGTAGAAATTCTTATAATTGTTCCCCTCTTTATTTTATGTTTTTATTTATTTATTTATTTCCGCATATACTATTTCAGTATCTTTATTCATTGCCGCATTATTATTTATTCTTTTATATCCCCATATAATATTCATTTCATCATCTCTACATACAACTCTCTATATTCATATTTCAATATTTCATATAATTCTATTTTTCATCTTATTTTCGCATATACTATTTTATCATTATAATATTCCCTATTTCCCAATTTCTACAAAATATCGATTTGTCCATAGTACTTTGCTTATTTATTTATACTTGTAACTCCTATAAATCTACTTGAAAATAAATCAACCTTTTTGTTTATATAAATTTATCATTATTCTGTACATTTGTTCCTAATAAATTATTTAATTATCAAATTTATCTCAAGATATGCTTATTTATTAATTATCCTTCTATTTACAAAACTTATATCTTATAATACCAAATTCGTGTCATAATATTGCATTATTTAAATTATTTACAATGTTTTGTTGATTAGAGTTACTTCTGAACCTGTATCTATAATAATAACTTGTATACTGAATCTTGTATGTACCCTTCAATAAACTTTAAAGTATTAGTGTTATTGTTTTTATTTAATTCCCCAGTATCTCTAATAAACTCCCTTGGATGTTCATACTTGATAAGTAGACAATATTATGCACATAGGAGCGGTCTAAGCAAAATTTCTCCCTTCTGCATCAACACTTGCTTCCCCCCTATTCTCCTCTGTTCTAACTACATTCACCTGTCTTCTCTCCTCATTTTCCCCCCTATTATATCTTGGATTCCCTTCTCTGTAAACTTCCCTATTTCTCGTCTCCTGTGGATAATTTCCCTGGTTCTGTCTCCAATTATTGCCTCTGTCATTCCCTTGTCTCCAGTTATTCTCTCTATCATTGTTTGGATTCCCTTGTCTACGTTCCCAGTTATATCGTCCGATATCTCTCCTGACATTGTTCAAATTCTCTCCCTATTTGTAAAATCCCTGCTTCTATTTTGTCTCTCAAATTCTCTTTCCTATAATTATTCCCTCGATTCACATATCCCTGTCTATTTGCTGTGTTATTCCTATATGTCACTTGCTCTTGTCCATTTCGATTCTGCGTCCCTACACTCCTCTCAATCCTCTGAAGATATCCTGTCAAACTTTCCATCGTCTTTATATGTGGAGAGCTATTGTTTCTGCCATGTTATGGTTATATTGCCTGGCAATGTATAGGACAATCTCCTCTTCTCGCATAGCCGGTTCTAAATATTGTGCTGTCTGGAATAACTGCATTGCGTACAGATTGTAGTTGGTACTTTTTTCATAATTGAATTTCCCAAAATACAACCGCTCCCTGAAACTAGCTGTTGGTTTTCTCCCCAAAAATAGTTAATAAACTTGGCTCAAATTCCTGCACATTATTTATGGAATTTTCATTATTGCAAAACATAATAATGGCATGCCCACTAACATGTTTCGAATATTCAATTTCATTTCTATTGGATCCCTTACATTCTTTACCTTATTTTTGATGATATCTACAAATATTCTAGGATGTAAGTGATTCAGGTTTCCATCAAACTTTATTCCCCCATCATTATAAACTCGGCACCACAGTACTCACTACTCTTGTTTGTCCTAGATTTGATTCCAAACGCTGAATCTCCTCACTTGCATTTTTAAATTTCTCTCTCAATTCCTCAACTTGTCCCTGTAATACTCTATCTCCCTTTTCCGCCTGATTTGCATGCATACCCATTTCCAGTTCCAAATTCTGCAATCCCTTCTTTATATTATTTTTTATAATGGTAATTTTTTCCTCATAATCCTGAGTTTGCCTTTTAAACACTTTCTAACCTCCTAACAATCTCTTTATTCTGCTTATTAACTTCTTTGTTTATTTCCATTGGTAATTCTCTTTAATGGCTGTTCCCAACTCTACAAATCTGCTCCCAATTTCCTGTCCTATTTCCGCTCTAATTATGGCCTTTTCTCTGGATATCTCCTCCTGTACATTCCTCTTAAAATTCTCACTTTCTCCTCTGACCTGTTCTATACTTTCTCTTCTAAACCTTGGGTAATTTGTAGCATCTCTTCCCTGACTATCTTCACTTCTTCTTTGATTTCTTCCCTCATTTTAAGTTAACTCTTGCCCTAAGTTCTCCTTTAATATTATTTTCCATTTTGTTCATATCCACCTAATATTGTTAATATTACTATCCATTTTGTGCATATCTCCCCTAATATTATGATCCATCTGTTGTAACATCCGCATTTATTTGCCTCATATCCATCTGTGTCATCCCTGACTCTCCAACATCTCCTTCCCTACGTCTCTCCTCCTGCACTCTACATTCATCCACACTTTCATCACGTCTATCTCTCACTGTCTCATCCAACTCCTCTCTCAAACTATCTGTTAGACTTCCCTCTCTATCACCTTGTCTGCTTCTTGTCTGCCTTGCTCTAAATATTGTACTTACAAATTCTCCTGATCCTCCTCTGCTTTCTTCATCTACCTGTATACCCTGTTCCTGTTCTAAACACCTGTTCTCCTTCACTCTTTTTCGGTACGATTTCTTTTCCATTTCTTAAAGTCATTCGGTCTGCCATTTTTATCCTAATCTCTATTTTATTCTCAAATTTAACTTTAACTACCCAGAATCTCTACAACTCTAATCACACCAATTTGTTTTTATTTTAATCTGTGTATTATTAATAAATCTGCTTAAAAAAAAAACACCCTTATTTCTGTTTTCCCAGAGGCCCCACGTTGGGCGCCAATTGTAATTGTTTTGTTTTTATTATTTTTATGTTTTATTGTTAATAAATATAATTTTAATTGAATTGAAGTGAATTTTAAAAGTATGTAGTTCGTATGTTAATATACTATACCCTCGGCTAGCTCAATTATTTGTTCTAAGCAATCTGTCACTGTGTGACGTCAACTCTGTAGTCTCCTGGTAGAGTTCAAAAAGAAATTAAACCAAATTTTACTTTATATTTTGATAAATTAACCCAAATGAAGCACGTTATTTATTAATATTGAACAAATTTAATATAAACAATAAAATTCGTCTGCAACTTGGGTTGCCTTTAAAAATTTACAAAAATAGGAATCGTGTAAACCTTAATGTGTCGTGAAAATAGAATTTGATTACAAAATGTGGAAACTCTCTACAATTACCTTAAATCTAATGACTATTGCAACTTATAAAGTGTTTAAATGAAATATAAAGAAAAGAAAACTGAACACTTATGCCGCTGACTTATAACTAGCATTAAAATATAATCAAAATTTCAAATGATCCCCAAAATTATTATCCAAACTCACTTTCAAACAGTTTCTGATTTTTTTTTTAAAGAAAACTAACTACTCGCAAAATAATCGGTGGATACTGGAATATCTATCCTCTCTTCGGAAGTTAAGGTACGTACTATTATATTTTTATTTTAATGATCATTAATATTTCAATTTTTAAGGCCTATCGCAATTAGTTAATTCATGAATTTTACTTTTTCAATCTAAATGACATTTCTGCACTCCAATTATAATTTATAAGTCAAAATTTCTCTTACTCTCTGGAACAAATTCTGGATATCTCTATTTGAAAATGTGGAAAAACTAAATTATAATTAAACGATTTTAAAGCACTCCGGACTATTCCACCTTTTTAGGGCTCTTCCTCCAAAATTTTCGTCGCCTCCAACAACTATTCCTCTTGTTCACCGCCATAGCTAGCACCAACCAAAATTATTCGTTGCTAACAGCAACCCCCTTTCTTTTTTCATTCCGTCTTCTATTTTATTCAACCATAAAACTGTCCTGTTTTGACATATTTGTCAAACCACATTAATTTCTCATAGCACTTTAATCACATCTATTTTGGGAATTTATAAAAAAAAAATTCAGATATAAAACTTAACAATACTAATATAATTTATTCTTTTCATCTCCACATCATTGTAATTTATTTAACAAAACCCTATTAATTTATTTCCCACAGACTTTTTGACAGTTTATTTTTCTGACGTTTATTTTTAAAATTTCTATGTTTAAATAATTTTTTAAGAATTCTTCTTTTTTTATTCCTTTTAAGGTTTAGTACGATTCACCTATACACTAGGCAACTATACTATTCAGAAATTATTAACACTATACCAGGTAAGTCAAAATTAATTTATTTAGCAATTTACTAATCTTTTCTCCCTTTTATTTCAGAGTCGAACCCCACATTGTGATGGCATCATGAAATTCATGAACAACAAACTCATATAAAAATCCCTTTAAGTTATATCCTCTTTGACCTATTGAAATCATTTCAATATATATATATATATATAATATATATATATATATATATTATATATATATATATTATATATATATATATATAGTGATATTTGTGTAATAGTAGTAAAAAAGCGAGGTGTTAGCAAATTTTACAATACGAGTTATCTCGTAGTTCGTCTTGGAAACGAGTTTTTTGTTGTGTGTACCAAGTGAGAAATAACTGGTATGAGCTGCTTTTTTTCAAAAATATTTATTATATATATTACGTTTTTGGATAATCAAAAGATGCATTTTATGCTTTAGTAAAATGAGTTAAAAAAACCGATTTAGCTAAAAATCTTCTGGCACTGAATAAGTTAAATTGGAATTAGAATAACAATTTAACTTTTATTTTAATTTCTAACAAACTCGAAACGTGGACTGCGCTTGTTCTTGTAAAAACCACTAACTGAGTTTATAAAACAAAAAATAACCACCTTTATAATTAAAAAATCAAAATTGCTGATAAATAACAAGGTGTAGAACGTAAAAAATGATATATCACTAATTGCTGTTGAATAATTAGTACCTTTATAAGTCCTGGCATTATTTTCGCCAAATGATCATCGGTGACTTCATCCGGATGCGCCTCTATTAACTTCGCAAGCATCTTTATCGCACCCAGCAGTACCGGATACGAAGTAGTTCTGATGATTGGTGCTAAAGTTGAAAGGATGCTCTCGAATGGACACACTGTCATCGCTGCTGCTGTTTTTTCAGCTTCTTTCATTACCTAAGTAAACAATTATTTATTCATCTTTTACATGATGGGAAATCGAGCAACACATTTACGTCCTTACAAAATAAAGCACTTCAAACTTTTAAATTATATTATTATTTTTAGACATTGTAAGTCAAATCAAATAAAAATAAATCTTGTTAAGTATAATATATACAGGGTGATTCTTTGGGAATTGAAATTAGACGTTTTAAAGAAACTTGACATAGCCATATTTAAAAAATTTAGAATTAGCAGTTTTTATGGACTATTAATTTAACATATTTTGAGCCTACTACCACTTTCCGGTTACAGGAAGTTAGTAAAACTTCCTTGTGTATAATATATTGCCCGGTATATTATTACCACATTTCGATAGAACAGCTTTTGAGAATTCTCTCAATATAAGGTTCTTCAAACAGCCATTTAACAATAGTCCAAGAGGGACATTTCAACCCCATAGATTCCAAAAAAATCAACAAATCACTCAATATGCACAAAATTCTACAACTAACCAACCCAATTTTCAAAAACCATCTCATATATCCATCTCCAATCATATAAGCCAACACCTATAAGCTCGCCAAACCGGCAATAGACCCCAATCTGAAAGAAACTTCCGCTTTCAACAAACAGCCAGTCCCCGATTCACCGTAGAAGAGCTCTTTAATATCGAACAACAAGAGCAATTATGATGAAGGTATATAGACACATACTCGATTACTCTTACTATGAACAAAAAATCCAATAATATGAGAGCGAAGATGAAAATTTTCGAAGATTCCAAACAAATCCCTCCTCTTAAACTTTTTATTGATACAGGAGCCACTAAATCTTTCCTTAATCCTGATATAGCCAACAAATTCTACAAAAATAATATTAAATATGAACCACTTGTTACATCAATTTTTCACAATCATTCAGAAGATTATTATGTAGAAATTCCAATTTTTCCGGTTCCAATTCTTACCGCTAGCTTTATTATAAGCCGGAACATATTATTTTTTCCCATTGTGACAAAACTGTACATTCAAAAATTTTCAAAAAATATATAATCTAAGTATTTCTTAGGTTATATCTTTATGCTGTAAGAAAATTAACAAAATTGTATGTCTGGTTTTCCCGCTTATACTTGGAAAAAAGTAGTTTTTTTGAGTTTTTTCGAAAACCAAAACATGAAGTTTGCTCAAAATTTGTCAAAATACTTTCTAGTTGTCACATATACCTTCTCAAATTTTTTGAATGTGCAGTTTGTCTTTTGGAGGTGCAGATCAAACTTAACCGAGTGTTTTACGCGATATGACCAATTCTATTATGAAACAGTGTGCGATTTGTCATCCTATAAATGCTAATATTTAATATTTGTCAGTATCGTCTTTTTTAATCAAATTTCAACATTTTGTTGATAAAATAATATTTATTTATATAGTTTTTGAGTATATTTTTTCAATTTAATCGTATTATTTCTTTATTACTTTAAAACCTTACCCTCTCTGTTGTCGTCAGAATGAGCTTCAAGAACTTTCATAGTTAATAATTCTACAAAATTCTTCCAGCAGTCTTTCAGATCTGGGGATTGGAAGATAGCTCTAAGCGTCTGAAGAACGGTAACTTGAATATCTTTTTCGTCTAGTTTATCTATTATAATACGAAGTATTTTTCTAAAAGTAAATGAAATTACAAATCTCACAAATATAGAAAATAAGAAATAATTTATAAGAAAAATGGATGAAGTCTCCCAAAGACACTCCCCGTCAGATAAAACGGACCACCCAACGGGAAAAAGGTTAAGAGAACAGTGGTTTGACATTTTGCAGTTTAGCAACGGGGCCATGACTTACTGTTGCTCACAAAAGACGCAGACTTGTATTTATTCTCTTGTTAGAAATAATTGTTTGTGTAAATTGTTTATTACCCCTCCTACTACACCCAATTATATTGCACTAAGATAGTCGAAAGGTCCATAGAAAGCCGTTATGCTGACTGTACTCGGTCACACCGGGCTTGATTTTGATGGTGGCTCAGTAATGTCTTGGGCAGTGATTTCCTTTGATGCACAAATGGATCTCGTCTGATTGAGACACACGCAGTAACGGCATACAGATATATAAGGGAGATCCTACAACATAATGTGATGCTGGGTTTATTGGCAATGATTTTCTGCTAATGAAAGATAATGTGAAACCACACATGGCAAGAAGCGTATTTTTAAGAGGTTGGTATTCCAAAAATGGACTAGCCTGTTTGTCTCAAAATCCTATTGAGCATATATGGAGCCTGCTCAAAAGGCGTGTAACACCCTGCATACCTGCAATAACATGTAAAGGCTCTCATTGAGAAATGGGCCACTTTTCACCAAAGGGACATCCAAAACGTGACCAGTTATATGCCAAATCGAATGCGAAGAGTCAACCAGAACCGTGGTGGCAACACTTTCCTCGTTCTATAATTTATTTCTTGTTAAAAATGTAACGGTACGTAGCAACTTTCAATACATTTATTATTTTCCCAAATGTATCCTTGTTTTCCATTTGATACTCATAATAATTTCGGGTTACATGCTACAAGAGTAACTGGCTCAATGTACAATAGATCCAATGTGATAATAGTAAGAAAAAAAAAGTAAAAAGTTAAAACATTTCTTAAATATTATGGGTAGCCTGTTTTCACTGAAGCAGAGTGTCTTTAAAGACTATATTATTTAAGTAAATACTTACTTGAAATTTCGTTTGATGGGCTCTGAATATCCACTCTTAATTAATTCTTGTAAACGTACAAACATCTTACACCTTTCTTCGGGTGTTAAGTCAGCCAAATAACAACTATCTATAACACTTAATACAGTTTGTTCGTTATCGTTCACATCTCCTAAAATAATAAAAATAAAAATGTTATTTGACAAAACTGAATTATTTAAACTTGCACAATTAAATTGGTGCAATAAACATATGAGAAATGTTAAATGTCGCGAAAAACTTTCTGAACAACTATACGAAAAATGTATATTAAATATTATTATTGTAGACAATATTTACGCACAGATTGTGGTTGATTACTACAACTGTAGTTGTTACTTTTGAACATTTTTTTGTAGCTGTATTTTCTGTTATTCGTCCTGATTTAATGTGTATTGTTTTGGATAGTTCTTAAGAATTTATTTAAAGGCATGAAAAGTACGCGTATAAGATGTTTTACTTTTTTTTTGCATAAAAACGGCGCCTCATATGAAAAAAAGAAGACAGAATTTTTTGACAAAAACTAAATGGAGAACTCAAAAATGATTTTAAATTTGAAAAATCTCAGTGGCTTACCATATTATTTTTTCCTAAAACAATGAAGATTAATAACTGTAAGTGGCGTCAATGGCTGAATATAAAATTCCTAAATTGTATGTCAAAAAATGGTCAATAACCAACTCTTAAAACTGATCAAAAACGACGTTTATACACTAGTGACGAAAATTCTGAAAACTTTACAAAAAATTATCGTTTTTTCCCAGCAGCACTCGTCTCATGATTCGTGATTTTTATTAGTTTATACCGTACAATTATATTTTTAATTTAATTGTTTTATATTTCTGCTTATATTTTACGTATTTCTCACTCTATATATATTAACATAATTATTTAATAAAATATGGAAACAGATTCAAGCGAAACGGCAAAAATTCGAGATATATGAATGATAACATTGGAAATAGTGTATTACGTCAGGGTTTTGCTAGTCCACTCAACGACCCAATTGGGAACGTTTAGTACAGATTCGTGCGACTTCCATGTGTTAATTAACGACTTCAGGTAGTTGTTACTAAGGTGAGATTGTTTAATTGTTGGAGAGGAATATCATCAGTGTCGAATTCAACAGAAAACGGTACCATATAGGACCACACTATCAGAAGAAAGTAGTGTAAAAACAGAGGCAACACACGCATTGATTGGGGCTTTGGCACTCAGAGGGTGGACAAAAGTAGCAGTGGAGTAAGGTAATTTGGAGTGATGAAACCAGAAATATGGGAATACGTGCTTGGCGGAGAAAGGTGAGGAATAGGGACGACTAGAGAGAAATTCTTGAGGAGGCTAGGACCCACGTAAGGGTTGTAAAGCCAGAATGATAATGGTAAAACCAGAATCTCGATCTTGGGCGCGACAGAGTGAAGTTTGTTCGCTACCGCACCGGGGAAAAGATCTTTTTTCCCCAGTGTACTAACGGTCACTATGAGCATCCCTGTGACGTTATTGGTATGGACTTGTATGACCACTAATGGAGTTGGACGTTTAGCAGTAATTAGAGGCAATATTAATGCAAAAAATATCAGAAAGAGATACTGCAAAGCCAAACTGTTGCCGGACTATCACAGATTTGTTTGAAGAGGAATGACCAACAATGCATTTTTCAGCAGGATGGAGCACCTTGTTTCATACGGGGTAAAACTTCCATGTAATGGTTGGGTAAACCATGGCTATTACTGTCCTGCCTTGGCCTGAAAATGATCCCGATCTAAATCCAAAAGAAAATCTACTGGTCAAGTCTAAACGTGTTTACGCAGAAACCCAAGTAACAAGAGAAAACTGATAGAAGCCATATATTCAAAACTAGTTTAGAGTTATTACACCAGAAGATTTTAGCTTGTCTCGTGAACCTCCATGCATCGCAGTATCGAGTCTGTTCTAAAAAACAAAGGTATATCCCACCAAATACTATTTATAATTTTCTTGGATAATAACCATTGTACCATTTTTTAAAATATATGTACTAATAGCCAACCACCTCTTGTTTTATTTATTTTTAAAATTTTTAGAGGTTTTTTTCTCTTAAAAATAGATGTTAAATATTAAGTAAGAAGCATAAAACGATGCAATAAAATATATAGATAAACTTATAAATAACAATAAATCTGGTGAAAAAGAGAAATGCTGATAACAAAACTAAAATTTTTGTAAAATTTCCAGAATTATGATGGCCACTAGTGTATAGCAAACTGATATTATTTTTCATGCAGAATCGCTCTCTGAAGTTAGTTGAAGACATATTTTGCAAATATGTGTTATTGACATGGACTACAAACCGATCCTTTGAACGCCTGTAACTCAGAAACAACTAATTTTTGAGTCTTGGGAGACTGAGAACTTTGATTAGCATAACCAAAGCTACTTCTCTGTAAAGTTGTAGTCAATTCAACTGAAAAAACTTGAAGAAAAACTGCCGGGATCCTTTATACAAAAACAAAAAAAAAATACGTTTGTACAATTAAAAATGGCATTCAAAAGAGTTATTTGAATTCGTTATGGTGATACACGTATATCTGACATAAGTAATTCAAAAATTGTAACGTGAAAAAGATGACAAGATCTGGTGAAATTTCTTCATTTGAATTTACGAAAGACTAGTAACAAAGTAAATCAAAAAGTGATCTTGATGACGCAGACAAAGCCGTGTTTTAATGAACTGTTTTAATTAAAGTACTACAAATTTTTGAAAACATTTGAAAATGTTGTAATTTTTAATATTTGTTAGTAGTTATTCCCACCTGCATTTTTAGGGTGTGGGTAGTATTCGTTAGTTTTCTTATTGTAACTATTAATTTATTTGTGTTTACTAATGCGTAATTTTTTCTCTCCTAAAATACAAGGTGGAGTTTCGTAAGTCCACTCAAAGTGAAGTAAATAAAGTAAAATAATAAATACACACCTAAACTTCTAAATCCATTAGAGTCAGTCTCAGTGACGCCATTAACTGCTGCATACGGCAACGATTTGGACCCGGATCTGACGTTAAAGTTTGGCCTTATCGACAGTTCCTCCATTTGTTCTTCTATTAAAGTAACATCTTTACCTATGTCATTTCCGGCAGACATTTGGGATATACCCGAGTCTTGCGAGGTAGTTACTTTGTCCCTGTCTAACTTAGTACCTAAAATTATATACATTAATTAAAATACATACATATTTATGTTGTTTTTAACAAATCGATACAAATAAATTTCAGGGATAATTTATGAGTAAAAAAAGTCATGATAAGGAATAAAACACTGGAGAAGCTACATATATAATATAAATTATATTATAATAAATATATAGAACTATTTACTTATATTTTTTTTCAAATTCCCGCACCTATGGTTCTTCGCTATCTAAAGGCCACCGTTAGATATGTAGTGGACAAAAGGCTCTAAAATTTCAGTTCTGATAACCTAAAAGGTAGGCCTAGGTAAATTCACTAATCATCAATTGATTGAATAAAAAAAAATCATTTTTAAGCGCTTTTTGGCGTTTTCGCCCCACTGTGCGACGTGTCCGAGAAACACGTCTCCATTTATTTATTATCAAGTTTATTCCATTTGTCTCTTCCAGTCTGTATAATATAATGTGATTTTTATGGTGGTGAAAGTTGGTAATAACAACGAGCCTTGAATAATAGTGTAAATTTTGGATGCTCACGCTGCAACAAAATTTCGGGAAACTAAAAATTTGGATGATTAAACAAAGCTACACAATGACGTGCCTCCTTTTCAATATAGTCCTGGAAAAGGCGGTTAGACATGCCAGAATGGATAACAAAAGACATATTTTTAAGGTAGTATTACCATTTAGAATTTTCAAAAAATCATTTTTTTTACATTCTTAGATTACTTTCACCTTGAAAAATACATTCCTAAAATATTATATAAAAATTCGAAGCCAATTCCGAGATATAACGCTTTACCGTAGTTGGCTCTCGGCTCGGCGCAGGTGTTCACGCAGCTGTCAGCCGCGCATAATGTTACATCTTGTATTATTATCATTCTCATAGATTTTCAGTTCTATTTCCATTTTGAAAGAAATATTTACATAAAAACTTTAACACGTTTTCCCCAAAACTACTTTTTTAAAACTAGCAGACAGTTAATCTCCGGATCTAGTTGGTCGATTTTAATAAACCTTGTTGCATATTGTTTGTTTTGATTTTCTCTATGATAGTTTCATCATCATCAATTACCCTATATTTGTCCACTGCTGAACGTAGGCCTTCCGTAAAATGTTCCACCTATTTCTATCTTGAGCTTCTTGCATCCAGTTTGTGGTGAGGCGCTTGATATCATCCGTCCATCTAGTCGGTGGTCGTCCTCTGCTTCGATATGCCTCTTGCCTTGGTCGCCATTCCAGAATCTTTCTGGTCCATCTATCATACGTTAATCTGGCAACATGTCCGACCCAAGCCCATTTAGCCATGGCTATTTTTTCAACTGCACCTGTGACACCTGTTCTTCTTATTTCTAGGTTTGGTAGTTTATCTCTGATGGTAATACCTAATACATATTAATCTTTCCATAGCGCGTTGTGTAACTCTTATTTTATCTATTGTTCTTTTTGTCAGAGTCAGTGTTTCTGCACCATATGTAACAACCGGTAAAATGCACTGGTTAAAAACCTTTCTTTTTAAACAAACTGGGATAATAGACTAGAAAATGTTATTCAATCTACCAAAGGCAGCCCATGTGAGACCTATCCTTCTTTATATTTCAGTTGTCTGATTATCTCGGCCTAAGCGAATCTCATGCCCTAGATATTTGTAAGCTGTTACTTGGTCTATGCTATGGCTCTCAATCAGAAATTTTACCGCTGACTACAAGCTGGTCATAAATTTTGTCTTTGAGGTGTTAATTTTAAGACCAATTGTTTTTGACACTTTATAGAGCGTGTGCAGCATTTTTGTAGCTTTATCAACTCTATCAGATATTAAAACGATGTCATCGGCAAATCTTAGGTGGTTCAGATCTTCCCCATTTATATTAATTCCCATATTATCCTCTCGTTCCATTTGCTTGAACATATATTCAAGAACAGCTGTAAACAATTTAGAGAGAGATAGTATCACCCTGTCTAATTCCACGTTCTATTCGAAACTTGGTATCTTCGTGAAGGCGGACACAAGCTGTACCAATTTCATAAATACTTTTAATCAAGGCAATATATCGGTAGTCAATGCGGCAGTCAGCCAATGCTCGAAGCATTTTATGATGATCTATAGTATCGAACGCCTTTTCATAATCTACGAATATAAGAAAGATGGGCTTGTTATTCTCTGTACACTTTTCTATTAACGTTTTTATAACTTGTAGATGATCATTTGTTCCGTATCTGGAGCGGAACCCAGCCTGTTCACAAGGTTGGTAACTATCCAGTTTGTTCACAAAGCCGTTTTGTTATTATCTTCATGAATAGTTTGTATGTATGGGAGAGCAAACTAATAGGTCTATGTTCTTTAGGTCTGAAATGTCACCTTTTTTGTGCATTATGGTTATTATTGCATTATGCCACTGGGAAGGGAGTTACGCCTCTTGTCAAACAAGCATTGAACATCTTTTTCAACACATTTACTAACGTTCCTCCTCCTTCTTAGATTTGTTCAAATACTATCACATCTTCTCCGGCGATTTGTATGATTCCTATGATAGTTTACCACAATTTAATAAAAATAATATTATTAATATTTTTGTGACTGGAAAAGGTCAAAAAAGGGTCAATTTTTGAACAATTATTAAATGTTCGCCATTTTGTTTTTTTTTAACAATTTTCAATTTTTCTGGAAAACTATCATGTAAAGGCAAGGCGCGACTTCTTTTTTAAAACCTTCTCGAATTTGATGTTTCAGATTTGCCGTTCCAGAGATTAACTGTTCACCATGAAGCAATATTTTTTTAAAAACAGAATTTTTTTTGTAATCTTCAAAAGTTGTGTAATAATAAAAAGTTTATTTGCATAATATATAATAAATAAGATACAAAAAATTGTTAAAAATGTGTCATTTTTTAAGCATTATAGCGGTCATAGTACCTTAATAAATCCCCACAAATTATGACCTATATCGATGATCTAGACCTAATCGCTCATACAGCAAGCAAACTAGAAAAAATGTACCCCACTTTCTCAAATGCCTCAAAATGATCGCATCAACACCAAATAACAGCACCAAAAACGTGGGTCACGATTTCACTGTTGATCATTCTAATTTTGAATCGATGGACAGATTCACATACTCAGGCTCCCTGATAACCAATGACAAAATGGACCAGAAACATGGACAATCTTCAAGACAGACGAAAATCTCTTTCTCATATTTAAACGAAGAATCCTGAAAGAAATATTCGGTGGCATATGCGAAAACACTATTTAGAAAAGGAGGTACAACTATAAAATATACCAAAACACATACAGATAACTGGTGTACATACGTGATATCTCTGATAAAAATAGGAATATTGAGAAAAACAATAAATGTCAAAATTAATTAATATATGTCAGAAAATTATCAATCGAAAACTGGATACCAAGCTTTACCACAAAACCTGAATACTGTTCTGAAGCTAAAATCTGAGGTTATGTAAAAATGTTGAATCTATATGAAGTCAGAAATAGATATCATTTGTTGAATATTTTTCTAGATGACAACTTACCTAAGGTTTCAAAGCTATAATTTTGAATTTCAGCTGTAGTTCTCCTAAGCCTCCTATGGAACTCTTCTTGATCTAAACCTTCTCTGAACGGAGAAATACCCGGCGACAGAGGTTTTGGACTTCCCATCGTCATCGGGCTTCCAGGCTCGCTTCCAGTGGAACTCTTCCGCATATGACTATGTACAACGTTGGATGCCAAATCCTGCATATCTTTAGGCAACTCAGCTAGTATCATTGTTACCTGAGGAGTATTACAATTCCATAAAGCTACAATGCATTGTCTAGCGGCGTGCCTAGTTTCCGCCGATTTGGTATCTTGAGCGTATGTGATGACTTTTTGCAGAGCCTGACTAGCAGGGGGCTGAGAAATGTGCTGAACAGCATCGGGGTTGTTGCACAGTGATGAGAGAGTATTTAAGACTACATTTTTTACCTAAAAATGAAGGAAAAAGTAAATATTGTTAAGTCCCAATTTTAAAATCAAATTATAACGATTTTTACATAATCTCCTAATCAAAATATTCTCCTATGTTTACTATTTCATACTTACTTTTGTATTTGGAGTTTGAGTCGCGTCTATAAGAAACCGATACACATTGGCGATGAGCAACTTTATGGAAAAACTGGTTTTAATAAGATCTAAGGTGGACATCAATTTGCCTTGAATAGAACTAAGGGTTTCGGTACCGATTTTGATGAAGACTCGCTGCAGGAGGACGTACAGCCAGAACTCAAGATCAGACTTGTAGCATTTTATAATTTCATGAAGCGTATCGAGGAAAACGCTGAGACCTTTGGTATGTGAGTCCATAAACATTCTGGTAAATATCTCGGTTAGATGTTTCAATTCTCCTGGAGAGAGAAGCACTTCGGTACTGAGGTAGTACTGTAATGACAATAAACCATCCTTCCGTTCTTGCCAGTTCGTACTTGCACATAATGCTATAATTTGGTTAATATCCTAAAATTAAAATATTAAATGATATTAGATACTTTTGTACTACACTGCACTAGATACTTTTCTTTAATAGACTTTTTTTTTTATAGAATTTATCTACATAAACATACATGTTATACCATGAAATGTGTTATAATGTGTCGCCGATGAAAATAATGGAAGAAAGTATGAAAGAATACTTCGAGAAGTTCTGTAGTGGTGTATATAAGAAATAAGTTCCTGGTAAGTATGGGAATATTGTGAGATATATGTAGTACTGAGATAAATTTAATCTTAGTACAAGTCTGTCTAGTAATACTCCAATTACTAGACAGAACCTCTAAAAATCAGAACAGAAGCAAAGAGAGGCAGATAAAGAGTTGAAGAGAGCGTTAAAAGAGAGATATGAGCGTATTATAGAAAAATATAATAAATAAACATGTTACTGAAAAATGTAATTTTGGAAGCCTTAGGTTGTAAGTTGGGAGCCAATGTGTAACAATAAAACTTTCTGTAGTTAAATATTGGCGCCCAACGTGGGACACAGATATTTTAAATATTTTATATATGTCTATGGCATAGAATATAATGGAGTAGATTTACGACAATGGAGACGATTTACCAGAGGTGGCCACCGACAGAGATTGAGTGGCAATGTGAAGAGAAATTTGAAAGAGATATATGTTAATACACCTCTCGAAACAGCAACGAAAGAAATACCGAGAATTTGTGAAGAAGGTCAAAGGGTTATTCAGTCATCGAAAGTATGTAATTATGGAGTATACAGAATACTTTTCAAAAGGTCTACAAAAATATTTAATTGTAATTAATACATTTTTCGAAGTTTTCAATTCATTCCTTAAACTAAACACAAAGTTTTAATGTTACAACGACAGTTCAATTCATACCAAAGGAGTAATTGTCATAAACTAAGTTAACCTAGAAAAAATACTAATCCAAAATTTAAATGTACAATTACTATAAAACATACTAAAATGATGAGACAACCTTTTTTACACCTTTATACGGTATTCGCCAAAATAAACAGTACTGAAATTTAAAACCTAAAATTTTGCACACAATACGTATTTTTTGAGCGCATTTGTCATTCACTACCATATTAACACTGCTCTATTATTAAAACCTTTGTGAAATGGTTTTTACAAGTGAGGGGAAAGTGTTTATAGTAGAGCATTATTTCCGCTCATACGGAAATAGTCGAAATAATGGTACAAGCTACACTTACATCAATAGATAAACACTGATTTCTTGGATACGTCCAAAGTCAGTTGCGAGAACGCTCAGTACATTTGATGTGCGGTGTCTAAGCATGGGATTATAGATCCTTTTTTATATACCTTTTGTTAGAGATTCACGAAATTCTTGCAGCGCACGAAATCTGTAAATGCGCAGGCAATGATTTCAACATGATGACGCATCGAAACATACAGCCATACTCTGCCTAGACTTACTTCACGAACATTTTGAAAACATAATAATTTTTGGTGAAACTGACTTTGACTAGCCAGCTCATTCACCTGATCTGACAACACCTGATGCATACATTAACTCAGTATTGTTTATTCATGTTAAAAATATAAAATATTACACACGTCAAATATGTACAAAACATTGAATTGAATAACAGAAATTTTTTATTAATGTTTTTAAATTTTATTTTCAAATTCCTTTTCAGGCAAGTTTCTGATATTTTCGGGCAGAATATTTTCTGGTATCATATTCTTTTTGTGTCCAGTATCCTGTTATCAAGACAGTTTTCTCCCCTGAAACGTCATTAAACGTACTTTAACCTTTAATTGTGGCTTATTCTCAGTTAAATAGTAATTACTTTATAATCACATCGTTAAGAAACGTTTTAGGAATAAATGTTGCACATTTTGAACATGTAACTTACGTAAATTAAAAAAAATACAATGTTCACTTTGGGTATTGTTTATTTTGGTAAATACTGTACTTAAAATCATTCAAAGTTAAACTATGAGTTGCATAAAATTAGTAATATTTTACAATATTTCAAAATGCTGTAAGAGATAAATTAACTACTTCTAGTTTTATACACCTTAGGAATCACTTGTATAAGTAAGCAAAATAGTACCTTGAACCAAGCAAAACGTTAATAAGAAAGTATAAATGTTTCTCTACAGAGTGCGTCCTTGTTTTATGAGAAATATACAAGGGGGTGAATTGTCAAACGGGCCATAGGAAACTCAATGGGAAATTCTAAATTGTTGAATTCCTGCTTCCCTAACTATTTTACACCAAAAGTCAAGAAAACTATTTGTAGAGGACTGAAATATGTAACGAAAACAAATGTTAAAATTGTTCTGGGAATTAAATGTATTCCAAAATTTTGCAAGAATACAATACATTTTTCAGACCACCCCTTAAAGTCAGGCCACACGCGGTGCAAGAATGTGTATGACATTTGCGTTTGGTCATATTGATGTTTCTGATATTTGACAATATTTGAATTGCCAAAATTTTTATTTTGTGATTTATTGTTTAAAAACCAACATAGTAGATTAAAAAATGTATTCAGTTGAGGAGAATAGCAATAATAAAAATGTTTTACATATTCTGGCAATAGTGAGCGAATTTTCAGTTCTTTATTTAGCGTAAGATATCCATAGACCAATTCCAAGTCATTCAACAATTCAAAGGATTTTACACAATTTTGAAAATACTGGGGCCGTGATTTCTAATTGTACCTGTACAAACAATATTGTTGAGATATCAAGAAATTTAGAAAATTAAAATGAAATAAATAATATAGCAGCAGTTGTAGAAAATCCTAGAATAAGTTCTTGGACCATTGCAGACCATTTTAATATTCATAATCCCACGGCCTTAAAAATTTTGAAAAGGAATAAATTCCGTTCATATAAATTTCAATGTCATCAAGAACTAAGAGAGGGAAATGTTGAGCGACGAGCGGAATTTTGTTATGAAATTTTAGAGAGGGCTAAAACACATTTTGTTTAGCGATGAATGTATATTTACATTAAATAATGGACTAGATTCCACTAGGAAACTAAGTTCCTGTAGCTGGCTGTATACCATATATCACAAAAAATTTATTTAAAATCCTTTATAAAAGGTATATAATAAAATGCCCAAACGGGCTATCACAAAGATATTACAAAACGTTTTCGGATTATTAAATCCATCATCAGTGCAAACGAGGTATACATGCTATGAGCCACCAAAATATATGGGTCCAAACCCTTTAAATGATATAAATTTACATTTGATTTACATTATATGTGGTTACAAATTATGATGTTTAAGTTACCATTGGAATTGGTAACATGGCGACGTATGACCCTACATAGATAAATGTTCAAAATTATAGAATTTGGTAGACAAGAAAGCCTGAGGATATTATTGAAAGCCATACCCAATATCGTCGAAAAATAAATGTCCGGCTAGGAATAATTAGACACAATATTATTGGACCGTTTTTCTATGAGGAAAATTTAAATTCAAAGCAGTATTTAGACTTGCTAGAAAAGATTTTACCCAGACTTGCAGAAATAGCTCCAGTGAAGAAGGAATTTGATTTCAAATGGATGGATGCCCTGCGCACAATAACTCGGAGGTTAAGGAATTCTTTAAAAACAGCTTTAATATTGTTTAATTGTTTGATTGGATCTGACTGTAATATTAAGTGGCCCCCGAGATCGGGAGATCCAGCTCCAGACGATTATTTTATCTGGGGTATCTAAAATCAAAAATCTATTCTGACCAAAAATTTACAGAAACTGAAGCATTAAAAATGAGAATTATTGAAGAGTGTGTAAAAATAACGCCTCGAATTATGGATAATGTTAGACGAGAATTTTAAAATCGAGTGGGATACTGCTTAGTACAAAATGGCTTATTGTTTGAACATTTGTTATATATTTTATGTTTAGAAATTATCATAAATTATTTTTAGGAAGGATCACAGTAAAACTATATTGAAATTCTTTGAATTGTTGTATTAACCTGGAATTGATTGAGTGTACCTACTATAATATCTTACGTTAAATAAAGATCTGACAGTGCTCGCACTATTGCTTGTATTTCATCATTTCAGAGTACATTTCATCAACTTTATTGGTTTGTAAATAATATAATTTATTGTTAACAAAGTATTATTTATTGTTCACTAGTAATAGTAGAAGTAATTGTGAAAATTTGCTGTTTATAAATTAATCATAAAATAAAAGTATTGACAATTCAAATATTGACAAATATCAGAATTATCAATATGAACAAACGCAACATGTCATACGCATTCTTATACCACGTGTGACCTGACTTTAAGTGGTGGCCTGAAAAATGTATTATTTTTGCAAAATTTTGGAGTATGCTTAATTCGTAGAACAATTTTAACATTTGTTTTTAATACAGATTTCAGTCCTCTACAAATAGTTTCTTATGACTTATGAATTGATGTAAAATAATTAGGGAAGCAGGAATTCAACAATTTAGAATTTCCCATTGAGTTTCCTATGGGCCGTTTGGCGATTCACCACCCGGATAAAAAATAATCTTAAAATGCAACCATGTGCAGCAATCTATGGTTTCACCTGCTGCTATATAAGCCGCATGCCTCAAGCCTAAGGAATCTTAAAGTAATTTCATTGAAAGTTATTTCTGATAAAAAATTGGGTCGGGCCAGCCATTGTCGGACGTTTCCTCAGATTTTTATAAACATCTGGTTTGATGAAATCGTAGGCTTCCACGGCCAGAGTCAGAATTATAGTTTATTTTCGTCTTCCGGGTTTGGACCGTATCATTTGTGAGTGACCCAAAAGTGGGTTCATCTCGACGTTTCGCTACAATTGTATGTAGCTTCTTCAGGAGAACAAAGAAAAGTGAAAAAAAGAAAAAGAAAACAAAAGAACAGGAAGATGGGTAGTTAGCAACGGTAACTCAGTTACTCAACGCAACCAGAGGCGAATACTAACTACCAAGATGGGCATTTGGTCACAGTAACTCAACTACTCAACGCAGCC